TATGAGCGGGAATACAGTGTAGGCTTATTGACAGAAAACTATAAAATGGCGGTGCCTGTTCGAAGTAATTTATTTTTTTGTTAACTTTTTACTGTACAATACAGTATCCAGTACTGTCCCAATCATGTGAGTAATATCAACGTTGACAATTGTGCGTTGTGTAAACTTTTTTTTCTCCTTTGCAATCGTACCTTGAAAAATAGAGCGAGTTCGCAAAAGTCAAACCACGAAGTAGTGAGGGACTACTGTAATTTATTTACCTGTTCTTGTACATGGAAGGTACAATTCACTGAGGTATAGTCATTTTTGTGCAGGCTACGGTGGACTTGCCGTAGCATCCATGTTGAATTGGGTTGACTTCAATGGTAGAAGGAAATCAGTTGTAGACGTTTAAGATGTCCAAGGAGTCTTTTCAGTGTTTCACTAAAACCCATACAGTTGTTGATGAGATATTTTGCTAACGGTACAGACAAGCAAACATTATTGCTTTGCCTTCGGCGGCAGGTGATAACAGATGACTTGTATGATGAGATCATCCTCCCACGTTTCTTTTCTTGGCGCCTCCACTTTTTCTTTCACAGAGTACACGACTGCCTCCACTTCCAATTATTTCTGCGTTTTCCCACCTTCACTTCAACCCTCTGCTCTCAAGCCATGCAGGCAGCGGCTCACAGCTGCACCTGTTGCTGCGAAACGCTCCTCGGCTTCATGGTAAATGGATTTGACGAGAGAGAAATGCCGTCAGGCGCGCTAAGAGGCAGAGTGACCTCGTCTGCCAGGGAAGTAGCCGCTTGGCTCTCTGCAGCTGTTAATACTGTTGAAAAGCAAGACATCATGTTTTTTTATTTTATTTATTTATTAACTTTCAAAACTGAAGCTTAAACTGTTGTTGTTGTTTTTTTTACCACATCCAAGATGCCCCTCTTTTCCGGTGGAGTGCTTGTTAAATAAATTAGACAAGTATTTTTTGTGTGAACACTTATGAAGCATTCACACTGTTGTGATCCATTTTTCTTCTGTACATTTTTCGACGCGATTCTCAACCTGCAGTTTTCAAGCTATGTCAACAAAATCATATCAAAACGTTCGGACAATCCTGCTATGACTTTTGGTATTGGTGCAACTTTAGCTTTTTGAAATATTTAGCCTTTTCTGACATCTAATAGAAAATGAATTGAGCTCATTTTACATCCTTTAAATGTTTAGATGTGTTTACAACCTTTTACTGCTCCTTTCACGTTTTGTTCTGGTTCAGCGTCTTTCAGCTTCCTTGTGCAAATCTAAAAAAAAAATTCAGCTACTTTCAGCTGTTTTTCCAGCTGTTTTGGTTTCCTTTCAGATTCTTTCTGCTAACTACAACATTTTTGTGCTTCTAACTTCTTTCTGCTAATGTCAGCTTGTTACGCTCCTTTCAGCTTATTTCTGCACGTTTCAGCTTTTTCTGCTATTTCAGCTGCTATTTAGCTGTTTTATACTAATTTAAGCGTTTTCGGCTAATTCCCCATTTTTTGCACTCATTTAAACTTTTTTAAGCCTAATTCAGCAAAAATGTGCTCTCTCCACTTCCTTCAGCTTCTTTCTGCTTTTTTTTAGCTACTTTTCAGCAGTTTCTTTCTAATTTCCAGCTTTTTTCAGATAATTTCTACATTTTGTACTCATTTCTGCTTCTTTCAGCCTAATTGGGCAAACATGTTCTTTCTGCTTTTTATGCTAATTTAAGCTTGTTCTATCTTTTCAGCTACCTTAAAAAATGTTTTAGCTAATTTCAGCTGTTTTCAGAAATATTCAAGTTTTCTTGGTAATTCCTGCTTTCAGCCTGATTAACTTAATTATACTAATTTCAGCTTGTTACGATCCTTTCAGCTTTTTCAGCTAGTTTCAGCTTTTTCTGCCATTTCAGCTGCTATTTAGCTGTTTTTATGCAAATTTTAGTCTTTTCAGCTAATTCGATTTAAAAATTTTTTTTTTTTTTTTTAGATAAGTTCTGCTCTTTCCTCTTCCCTCGCATGTGAAGCTTCTTTCTGCCTTTTCAGCTACTTTTTAGATATTTTTAGCAAATTTTTGCCCTTTTTTTTAGGTGATTTCCCAATTTTTGTTCCCATTTCTGCCTATGTAAACCTAATTCGGCATATGTGTTCTTTCTGCTTTCTTCTGCTAACTTTTCATTCAACCTTTATTTATACAGGTTAATCCCATTGAGCCTCGGGGACTCATTTACAAGAAAGACCTGAGGCTCTTTCTTTCATTTCAGCTACATTTCTGCATGTTTTTAGCTAATTTCAGCTTTCTCTCAGCAAGTTCTTCTGCATTAAGCATTCATACTGCATTTTCGCAGGAAATGCAGTTTTCTACGTTCTATTGTTCTGCACTTGTGTGGCAATTTACAGAGCTCTTTCGAGACATTTAAAGACAAAAAAACAGTCCTAAATCCTAAATGCGAGGGACAATTTAAAAAAACGAGGCTCGTACGGGGAATTAACCTGGTTTAAGCAAACAGTAACAGCCATTTTGTAGATAACGTTCTGCTTAAAGCTCTGAAGTGTTTGCTCTGGTTAGTGTCACTCTATTTTCATCCCGCACGCTCCAAACCTCAGTAATCACACGTAAGAGCCCCCCAAGAACAGCGTTTACCTGGAACAACAGAACGATTTTAACACTTGAGACCTCACAAAGCTCAGTGGGTGTTATTCAGATTCAGGCCTCTTCTACTATTTTCATTTGAGCTGAAGGTTGTATAATGACGGCCGCAGGGCTGGAGAAAAGTGCAGTCATTTTCTGAGGCCTTTTTGGACTTCTTTTTTTTTTTTTTTTTGCAAGTTAAAGATTTTACACAAAAGGTGCACCTTTTTTTGTTGTTGTCAGGGAACCAGTTTTTCCATTGGTATCCATAAAATAGAAAGTACTGCAGTAGCTGCTTAGCTTAGCATTCTGCTTTAGTATATGCAGGAAGCAGTCTGCAATAAATTAATTCTGACCATCCCTGGTTTTGTCAGCAGTCTAAACTAGAACAACTCTCTGACACGTGAAGAGAAGGCAGCTGCAGAAATGCTAAACTGACGAGCTGTCACGCTGTTTTTCCCCTCTGGATATCAGTTTGCGAAAACCTGCTGCCTGCGTCGATCGACAAGAAACCAGAAGCCTTTTTATTTTGGCGGGGAAGGAAGCAGCCTGGCTTTGTGTTTGTGAGCTGAATTGAAGTCCTCTGTCCCTTTGTAACCTTCAGTCTGGCTGAAAATCCTGGCTGGATTTTATTGCTCGTCGTTGACTGACTCTGAATGTAGATAGAAAAGCACCAGAGAGGAAAATTATGGTTGCTTTTGTTTTCCAGTTTGCTGTCTCTTCCGTACATTTTATTGCAATGAAACTTCTTTCACATACTTGTGCTTTTTTTAATCATTCGTATGACGAAACGTTCAGCGTGGTATTATTGTAATACCTTTGGTATATGTAGCTTTTATACTTTTCATATAATTTTTATTTTATTTAAAAATCAATACTACAGAAATATGTTATTTTCTTTTAGCATACTTCGTCTATTATTGTCCTATGCACTGTTTCCCCTAGATCAGTTCCCTTAGCAGGGCTCTCGTCGTATATTATTTTTGTTGATAGTGCAGTGGGGTGGAAGACGACGGGACGGAGTCACGTCTATGTTGCCCGCCTGCTAGCTTAGCGCTACGTTGCTGCTGTTTTTTATCGACCACAGAGGGTGGTGGGTTGCAGAGTGGGGGAGATGATGAGCTGTACGCCAGTAGCATTTTTGCTAGCGCGTTTGTACTGTGCCCTGCGCTACATCAATACTGACAGTTGTGTTTGTGGAGGGGGTGTTTCGGTTCTGTTGACAGGGCGGGGCGACCCACTTGTAGAATGGTAGGGGAAACACTGCTTTGTTATTTTGTTTTTAGTTACTGCTCTGCTCTGTTTGTACTTTAGCAACTGTTCTACTACATATAGCTTTAGCTACTTTTTTGTAGTTAGCTCTTAGCTACTGTTCTACAACTTTAAACTATAATGTTCCTTGCGGTACGTCAGTAGCATTTTTGCTAGCACATTTGTATTGCACCCCGCGCTACATCAATACGACAGTTGTTGAGGGGGTGGGGGTTTCGGTTCTGTTGAAGGGGCGGGGTGACCCGCTTGTATAAAAAACACTGCTATATTATTTTGTTTTTAGCTTCTGCTCTGCTATGCTTGGACTTTAGCTACTGCTCTGCTACATATAGCTTTAGCTACTTTTTATAGTTAGCTCTTATCAACTGCTCTACAACTTTAAGCTACCATGTTCCTTTTAGCTACAGTTTTTCTGCTTTTAGCTTCTATTTTATAATTGTAGCTTTTAGCCACAGTTTTGGAATGTTCAGCTTTTATTTTGCTATTTGTTTAAGCTTTGTTTGCTTATTTATTATTTTTTTTACCACAGTTGTGCAAAATTTAGCTTTTAGCTACTGGTTTACAAATTTAATATATTGGCCATTTTGGCTACTAGTTTACTAAGTTTTACTTTATGCTTTAGTTTGTTTTTGTTCTATTCTGCTTGTTTTAACTTTACCAGCCCAGTTTCAGCTTCTTCAGCAAAGTTATTCAGTGCTAAGCTAGTTTGTTCTTTTAAACTTTTTTTTTGCTTTTTGCTACTGTCTAGCTAGTCTTAGCTTTTACCTACTGTTCTTGTGTTAGCTGTTTTTATTGGTCAGTTTAATTCTGGTTATTTTTCTTTCTGTACTGCCTTTTTTTTATACCTTGGAACAGTTAGGCTTCAGCTTCTTCAGCAAATTTCAACAAAGTCATTCAGCTTTCACAACTTTTGAAGCAATAATGAAACGTCCTTCTGGTTGTTCAAACAAAACTGAAATAAAACACCTTTTACATGAACTGCTTCTTTAAGTTTTTGATGCTAAACCTGATGAGATGCTGGACTTTGTTTGCTGTAATTTAATCTTCTACAGGGAAATCTTCTGTTTGCCATCTTGACATTAAAGGAGACTCTTTTTCTTCCTCGTCAGGGGCCATCCTGGGACGTTCTGAGACGCAGGAATGCGTCTTCTACAACTCCAGCTGGGAGAAGGACTGGAGTAACCGCAGCAATGTCGAACACTGCTATGACGAGAAGAACAAGCGGCGGCACTGCTTCGCCTCGTGGAAGAACTTATCGGGCACTATTGAGATCGTCAGGCAGGGCTGCTGGCTGGATGACGTCAACTGCTACGACAGGTACGCTGGAATTCAGATTAAACAAGATAAATTGCATTTCCAGCAAAAATGCAGTATGAATGCTTATTGCTGAAGAAATTGCAGAAAAACAGCTGAAATTAGCTATAAAAAAAGCATTCTGAAATGTGGCTGAAATGGAAGAACAAGCAGAAGAAAGCAGAAAGAACACATATTTGCTGAAATAGGTTTAAATAAACATAAATCAGCACAAAAATTAGGAAATTAGCTAAAAAAGCTGAAATTAGAAAAAAATAGCGTAAAAGTAGCTGAAAGGCAGAAAGAAGCTTAAACTACTAGAAGGAAGAGATGAAATGAGCTAAAAAATGTGGAATTAGCTGAAAAAGTTAAAATTAGCATAAAAACAGCTAAGTAGTAGCTGAATTAGCAGAAGTGGCTGATACTAGCATAATTAAGCTGAAAGGAGCATAACAAGCTGAAATTAGCGTAAATAAGTTAATTAGGCTGAAATAGAAGAAATTATGAAAAACTTAAAAATGTATCTCAAAACAGCTGAAACTAGCTAAAAAAAATGCCTACAAGGTTAGTTTTCTGCTTAAATTTGCAGATGAAAGCAGAAAGAACACGTTTGCTGAAAGAAGCAGAAATTAGCACAAAAAATAGGAAATTATCTGAAAAAAGCTGAAATTATGCCAAAAAACCAAACAAACAGCTGAAAAGTATCTAAAAATGCAGAGAGGAATGTAAATTACCAGAAGGAAGTGGAGAGAGCACAGTTTTGATGAATTAGGGGAAAAAAAAAAAGTTGAAACTGAAAAAAAATTGTCGAATTAGCTGAAAAAGCTAAAATTCACATTAAAAACTGTTAAATAGTAGCTGAAATAGTAGAAAAAGCTGAAACTTGCAGAAATAAACTGCAAGGAGCAGAACAAGCAGAAATTAGAGAAGCAGGAGGAGGAGGAAGGTATAGCTCATTATAATTTAATGAGTACTTATAGGTAATAAAAAATTGATGCTACTCAGTATTCAGTAGAAAAAAGTAGATCGCCAACAATCAAAGAGTTGAACTTCTTACTGTTGATAGTTTCACAGCAGTTTTGCTTTAAACAACAAATAAAAAGAGCCCACGCCTGAGTAATTGTGCTTCTTAAGCACCCTCTCCAGTTCAGGGAAGCTTCAGCGCTCAGACCTGCTGCTCGCTCCGATGTGCAATAGATACGTCTGACTCCATTAGCTCGCTGTGAAACGACACCCGTGCATCCATCCAGCAAAGCACCGTGTTTTGGCTAAACAGCTGTAGGTTTATTACCTGCAGGACGCAGCGGCGGTGATGGATGTTCTAGAACAAGCAGAACATCATAATTACAATTTGAGCAAGTTTTTTTTTGTCTTTCCGTGTGCTTTCTTTCAGAAAGACCCACACAAGGCTACATTTTAACTAGAGAAATTGCATTTCCCGCGAAAATTCATTGTGACTACTTATTGTAAAAGAACATGCTGGAAAACAGCTGAAATAAGCTAAAAACATGCAAAAATGTAGCTGAAATGGAAAAACAAACGTAAACCAAAAGAAAGCATAAAGAACACATACTTGCTGAATTAGGTTAAAATTAGCAGAAATTAGTAAAAGAAAAGGTAGGAAATTAGCTAAAAAGGCTGAAATTAGCAACAACAACAAAATAGCTGAAATGTAGCTGAAAAGTCAGAAAGAACCTTAAACTATCAGAAGGAACCAGAAAGAGCTGAATTGAGCTAAACAAATGGAATTAGCTAAAAATGCTAAAATTAGCGTAAAACAGCTAAATAGTAGCTGAAATAGCAGGAAAAGCTAATTCTAGCAGAAATAAGCAGAAAGGAGCATAACAAGCTAAAATGAGCATAAGCAAGTTAATTAAGCTGAAAGTAGCAGAAATTCCTTTAAAATCTTGAATTTATCAGAAAACAGCTGAAATTAGCTAAAAAATGCTAAAAAAAAAAAAAAAAGGTTGCTGAAAAGGTAGAACAAGCGTAAATTAGCAGAAGAGAGCAGAAGAACACGTTAGGCTGAAAGAAGCAGAAATGAGCACAAAAAAGTAGAAATTATTTGAAAGGGGGAAAAAATCAGCTGAAAAGGCAGAAAGAAACTTAAATTGCCAGAAGGTAGTAGAGAGCACATTTTTGCTGAATTGGGCTGAAAAACGTTGAAATTATTGCAATAAAGGGGAATTAGCCAAAAAAGCTAAATTGGCATAAAAACAGCTAAATAGTAGCTGAAATAGCAGACGAAGCTGAAACTTGTGTAAATAAGTTGAAAGGACAAGGTGGCAGAAAAAAAAGTTTAAATTTCATCATCATCATCATCCTCAACTTTATTTATAAAGCGCTTTAACACAGCCACAGCTGAAACAAAAGTTCTGAACATAACTTAAAAACAAGATAAAAGAGAGCATAAAAAAAATCTACAAAGCCAAGCACACAATTAATTAAAAACTCAATTTAAAACACAATAAAATGAGCTCAGTTAATTTTCTATGAGGAAAAAAGTGGCAGAAAAGGCTAAATATTTCAAAAAGCTAAAGTCGCACCAACACCTATAGTCATAGCACCCTTTTCCTGAAAGACCTGAATGTTTTGATTTATGATTTGTTGAAATAGCACCAAAACTGTGGAACGAGAAAGATGCTGAAAAATGTACAGAAGACAAATGGATCACAACAGAGCGAATGCTTCATGAACATTCACACGATTACAGAAACGGTGAATGACAAAACAAAACAAAAATAATTCTCTTCAACGCTATTTCAATTGAATTCAATCTAAACGTCTTGAAGCACACTTTTAATGAATTTGTCTTCTCGGGGTTTATCGATGTTGGAGCCTCAGATGTTCAGACGCTGGTTTGAAGTAGTGGTTTTTATTCGTTGTTGATGAAGCTGCAGTAGGGTTTGGAGCGTGCTCAGTTTGGGTACCTCTGCTCAGACGGCGCCGCCTGGCCTCCCTGGAGAGCGCAGAGCAAGTCGAGGGCGGCTGCCACTTCCTTTGGCTTTTATCTGATGACTGAGTGAGAGTGAAATTGAGAGGGAGTGTGTGTGTGTGTTCTGTTGTGCATTTGTGTTTGTTTGCATCCATATTGGCATGCGTAAGAGTTATTTAATAAATGCTTTGTTTCATTGTCCTCTGCGGCTGTGGGGGAATGGAAGAGGAGAGTGTGCATGAGCGGTGTGTGTTCATGCTTTTGGCCTAACGTCATCTCTTTGAAATTGTATGCGCGTTGGAAAAACATGATCTGCCCCGGTGTTGTCGTTTTGCCGTTTATGTTTCTGATTTCCTCCTTCCATGTCCTCCACAGCAACGAGTGTGTGGAGAGGAAAGAGAGTCCCAACGTTTTCTTCTGCTGCTGTGAAGGCAACAAGTGCAACGAGAGGTTCATGTACGCCCCGCTGAGCGACCCACAGAGCGACACTCAGAGCGATACTCAGAGCGACCCGCGCCATTCAACCGCCTACAGTACGTACAGCCCAACACAGCAGTGTACCACGGAGAGTTACAGCCACTGCCGTCGATTACAGTCATGCAGTTCATTTAATTCCTACATACAGTACATGTATCATCTTTACAAGGGAGCCACCTTTGTTTCAGTGCTGAGTACAACACCCCTTCTGCTTTCTGCTTAGGGTTTTTTTTTTTATTTGCTGTGTTGTTAGTTGCCAGGTTTTTCATTCATTTAACCTTTATTTATACAGGTTAGTCTCACTGAGTCACGAGGACTCGTTTACAAGAGAGACCTGTTTTTAACAAAAAGCTTAAATGAGGTACACAGAACAATAAACGTTTGTATGAAAACATATAACATGAAAAGTATATAAAATCAGTGATATAAAACACAATAAACAACATGTTACATTATAAAACAGTGTAAGATATTAAAAACAGGAGCATGTCTGCATAGGTTTTTGCATTGAGTTTAACAGTAGTTTAAAATCTCTTAGGGAGGTCAAAGTCGAGAGCTTCAGATCTTTTTGCAAGGTGTTCCAGGAAACAGGAGCGGAGTAGGAGAAGGCCCCTTTGCCCAATTCAGTCCGCACTGATGGGACACTGCGAGTAATGATGTCTTGAGAGCGCACGCTGTAGCTGCATTGATGATGTGACATGTAGGAGGAGATGTATGAAGGCAGCAGACCAAGAAGTGATTTAAACATGAAAATGTACCAGTGTGAGAGTCTGCATGAAGTTAATGATGACCAGTTGACCAATGAATACAGGGTGCAATGATGGGTACGGTAGTTACAGCCAGTTATGAATTTTAACACACCGTGATAGACAGCATCTAACATCTGTAAGATGCTTGCAGGATCATTCATGTAAATAATGTCACCATAGTCAATGGAACGAAGGAAAGTAGCATTTACAAGGTGTTTCCTATCATTCAGATTTAGACAGGATCTATTTCTGAAAAAGAAACCCACTTTTACTTGCAATTTTTTTACCAAGTTTTTGATGTGAGACTTAAAAGAGAGAGGTGCATCGATCAAAAGTCCCACGTATTGGTAAGAATCGACAAACTCCATAGGAACACCGTTCATAGATAAGATAGAAGGAAGGACTGCTGGTACCAACTTCCTGTTTGAAAACAACATCCCTTTGGCTTTATCAGCATTTAGCACCAGTTTGAGACGGAACAAATTTGACTGGATGATGTTGAATGCAGACTGTAAAAGATGGAAAAACTTAGCAACTCTTTTAGCTCGACAATAAACAACTGTCGTCGGCATAGAAATGTAGGCATTCATCCGGAATGATCTGATCTACATTACTTATCTAGATTGTGAAGAGGGTGGTACTTAATACTGAGCCTTGTGGTGCACCATTATTCACTTTAGTAACTAAAGTGTTTTTAAGGTTTACCTTCAAAATGAGCACCTATAACCAGTGAGTGACTTCTGACAAACCTGACAGTTTTAAAAATACAAAGTCTTGATCAAGATTTGTGGGAAAATTTAGTTATCTCCCCCCCCAACCCACACACACAAACACAAAATTGACCATGTTAGGTGGGGAATAGAGATGGGCATTATTTCCTCAAGTTCTGCAGAAGCTGGTTAATCACCCATTCATTTGAATCAGGTGTGTCAAAGCAGGAAAACAACTAAAACATGCAGGATGGTGTTCCTCAGGGACCATGGTTGGGAACCATTGTGTTAGGTCACATAAATATTTAGGCGTCAGGCTTTGAAAAGCCTTAAAAACAAACTATTTTTATAGAAGTCTTGGAGAGATAACATAAGACCGATTCTGTTTCCCTTCCTGGTACCAGTTATAAAAGGTTGAATGAACAAGTCTGAGTTCTGAACCAGTTCAATTCTGTTTATTTATATAGTTCCAAACATTATAACATCAAGGCATTGCACATAAACATTCACATACGTTATAAAATGCCAGTTAAAATTATGTATCCAAGGAATCCCACAGATTTCACAGAATCTTCATATTAATATCATCAGTCTTAATAAGCTGAAGAAGAGTCATCAAAACTAAAAAGTGTATAGAGAGACCCATGATGTGTATTATTTTAAATATGCAATTATCCGACTGGTGTTTCTCAGTCTCCTGGAGATATATGAGAAGCAGCACCAAGTGTAGAGTGTTTTCGCCAACTGTTTTCCCCCCTCCTCCTTTGCTGTCCTTGCACTTAACACTTCCCAGCTAACAGGCTCATCTGTCTCTTTGTGTTCCTTTTGAATTTGACTGTGAGAAACCTGCAGACAGCCTGTAGTGAAACACTCTTCACAGACACCCCGAGAGGCCCGCGGCACAGCTGTTGCAGCCCCATACCCGCAAACCCCTCCCACCCCCTTTGGTGGTGGCAGCGGACGGCGTCTGAGCACTTTGACAGCACCGTCACCTTGCAACGGGAGGGCGGGCTGAGCCAGTAGGCGTCACCCGGCCACCGCTGCAGAGTGGAACAGTGCAGAGCTCTGTTATTTTTGGCAGGAGGATTGTGTTATGTCATTAGATGGATCTTCTAATCCTGCTGTGTTCATGTGTGTGCACGTGCGTGTGCACTAGGAATGCGCGATATATACGGTACACGGTAGAAACGATTGAAATTTAGCCTACGATAGAGATCTGTCTTTTACCAGCTAACCGCTGTGTCTGAAGTAAAATCAGAGTTGTCAGATTTAATCGTTACTTTTTTTAGTTGAAAACTGCGCAAGTGGTGTTAGTCATTTCTTCGAGGGCTAAGTAGCTACAAGCTAACTACAGCCGGCTTGCCGTAGTGTTGCCGTATTCTGACGTATGCGCAAAACGCTGTGTTCCGTCGAAAGTTGTTTTTTTTTCGGTCGAAAGTTAAAGTAATCGCTGGTCAGCTTTAAAGAAACCTGCTCTCTGATCTGTGAAAAGAACGCTGTGTTGTGATTTTACTGCGAGACCCTCTGGTCAAAGCCACAGACTCATTTTGTGTCAGCTCTCCATTAAAGCGGAAGAAGGCGCCCACTAGAGGGTTGGAGGGTGAAGTGTTTTTAGTTGCTGCTCTGTTGCTGTTCATTTATTAAGTGAGAATACTGGAAAATGTTAAGAGTTAACAACATTCTTTTGTTTAAAACATATGGCTAAAACTACATTTGATCTCTTTTGCACTGTTTTGCACTACAAGAAAGAAGCCCAATACTTGATTTTTTTATTTAAAAACTCTCTGGACCTAAAAAAAAAAAAAAGCATGCGTTACCTGCCCCTCTTCCTCTTTCGCTTTTAACATTTTTTGTTTGTTTTTTAGTTTGTCAAAGCACCATTTTGATGGGTTTTTTTTAAACACAGAAGTAATGTTTAATAAATGTTAGGACTCTATTCTTTGCTAACAAATCCTCCGCTCTGGACACATTTCACGCACAGCGCGCATGCAACAAAGAGTATAAACTCAAAGCGAGAGCGACACCTGCCCCCTCTTTCCTCTTTCACATTGACATTTTTTAGTTTTATCGATTGTCAAAGCACAAGTTTGATGTTTTTTTTTTTATTTGTTGGAAAAAACGTATGTTTAACAAATGTTAGGACTCTATTCTTTGCTAACAAAATATATTTTATGTCGTTAAACAACTTGTCAGGTTCTTCTCTTGTGAGCGTGTTCCCCTGGACAACCCCCCCCCACACACACACACACACACACACACACACCCCCAGCCCGCTCGCTCTTGCACTTTTTGCGACTTCTATGCTGCACTGAGACCAGGTCCAGCTAAACATTGAGCAGGAGCTGAGAGCTGCAGGATCATGTTTCAAGCTTCAAAAAGCTGTGCGCTGCAAAACGTGCTCATTGTAGCCATTAATCCTGACTTCCTCATTTTGATAATAAAAAAAAAAAAATCAGCACAAATTGTTTTATTCATTTTTGTTTTGTAGGTCAAAGTGTTGTATAGAACACTCCTGACTTAAAATGTTGCTGATCAATTTGAATTTATTTTTATTTATTGATTGTATTTAATTTGATTGTTCAGTATCAAATGGTCAAAAATGCTTACAGTTTAAATAAGGATAGAGTTTTTTTTCAGGCAAATTGATGCACTTGAAGTCTTTTCTGTTACAGACTATAAAACAATGTTAATAATCTTTGTTGTAAGTTGATCTGTATTTCTATCTTTTTTCATTTAATGTTAATAAGGATACAATGTTATGTAGAGGTGTACTTATAACAATTTTATAGAAAAATTATACTATTTACAGTTGCGGCGGAGAGTTTGGGGGGGGGGGGGGGGGGTTGTTTATTTTTTCCAGGGGGGGCGTAACCGAAAATAATTGAGAAGCACTGAGTTAACCAGTGAATACAGGGTGCAGTGATGGGTACGGTAGTTACAGCCAGTTATGAATCTTAGTTCACCGTGGTAGACAACATCCAACATCTGCAGGGTGCTTGTAGGAGCATTCATGTAAATAATGTCACTGTAGTCGATGGACAGAAGGAAAGTTGCAGTTACAAGGTGTTTCCTAACATTCAGAGTTAGACAAGATCTATTTCTGAAAAAGAAACTCAGAAAAAAGAAAAAGAAACCTTTCAGTTTCTTTACTAAGTTTTTGACATCAGGCTTAAAAGAGAGATGCGACTCGACCAGGATACCCAAGTATTTATAAGAATCAACAAACTCAATAGGAACACTGTTCATAGATAAGATAGAAGGAAGGACTGCCGGGACCTGTTTGCAAACAACATCCCTTTGGTTTTATCAGTATTTAGCAGAAGTTTGAGACAGAAGAAATCTATGATGCATGATGTCGAATGCACACTGTAAAAGCTGGAAAACCTTAGCAACTGTTCTAGCTTGACAATAAACAACCATTTCGTTGACATAGAAATGTAGGGATGCATCATGAATGATCTGATACATTATTTATGTAGATTGTGAAAAGGAATAGTCCTAAGACAGAACCTTGTGGTACACCATTGTTAACTGTTAAATAACTGGAAGAAGTACTGTTATGTTGAGCACATTGCCTCCGATCTGAGAGATTATATG